GTAGCCTTTTATAAAAATATTTATATATAAAAAATCTTTTATATATAAATATATATATAAGATTTTGGCAACGTCGCCTCGTTTTTCTACGATGTCGCCCCGTGGGGAGAAGAGAGAGGCGACGTCGCCGAATTTTTTTTTTATTTTATAAAAATATTTATATATAAAAAAATCTTTTATATATAAATATATATATATTTATGGATAAATATTTATATATAAATATATATATATAAGATTTTGGCGATGTCGCCATATTTTTCTGCGACGTCGCCCCGAGGGGAGAAGAGAGAGGCGACGTCGCCCCATTGATATAAAGGTAGCCAGTAGACTGAGTCTATATGTTCCTCTAGTTAGGCATGTAGTTGAAATGAAGCTTGGCATCAATAAGAAGAACGAGAGGTGTATTCATTTTCCCATCTAAGTTTCACATAAGCTTTGGGTACCTTGTCATTGGCAGACTAATTTGTTCTTGGTGCTTTGAAGCTATTATGATGTTTAGAAGATGGATAAATAAACTAAAAAACAAACTTTCATATTGGAACCTATTGATCTGTTCATTGGCAGGTCAAATGATGTAAACTCAGTTTCTTTTTGTGAGTAAAAACCACAGATCCTGTCATCTTGTTGCTTGCAACTTACAAGTAAATGAAGTTACACAAAACACTTAGAAATACTCTATAAGTAGAACTTTGGTTGTTAACCCACTACAACCTGTCATAATATTAAACTGAGAATGTTGTAAACATTTCTGGTTATTGAATTCTCAGCCTCATGGTTCTCTTTCAGCAAAATGGAATTTTTAAAGAAACACAATTTACAGCATCACTTCCTGTAAACTGTGTGTGACTGGACAAACTATACAGAAAACTATATGGCTCCTTGTGTGGAATTCCATAATGCATCACTTGGTTTAAATTGAACTAGATCCTTTTGCAATTACAAAACTCTTCTATTTGCTTTTTACTATAAAATTGTTATATTATGATTTACACTATGCCAAAATTTCTAGTCATTAACATAAACTTTTTGATAATTTCATTTTATCTGAAATTTGGCATTTATATGTAAGTTTTTGAAGTGCATTTGTTGCATGAGACCAGCATTGTTCTGATGATGATAGCACTACAAGGCCTCTCTTGTTGGTCACTGCTTCGGTAGATAAGATGGTTCTAAAGAGGCCATTGCGTGTAGACACTGACCTAAGGATAGCAGGTGCTGTCACATGGGTTGGTCATTCATCCATTGAGGTACAGATTGAAGTTACTCAACAAGGTATTTGTGATGATTCTATCTGGTAAATGGAGTGAAAATATTCATTTATACCTCTGGTTCATATATTGGACATTTATAGGTCTCATTGGTATGACCACTAATAATCATACAAGAATATATAGGAAAGGACGCTCATCACCAATCGTAATCATGAACTTGTGACCCCTTTTTTCTTTGGAAATCTGGAAGTTACTAACTCCAGCAATTATCTGTCCATGAGTTCTCATATCCTTATAATGATAGACCGAATAGCTCACTGCTCAATTCTAGTGCAGTCTCCAAGATGGAAAAGAATTCATGATCTCCTATCTCATGAGTACTTATTTGCTTAAATTTTGCTATACGAATTCATGCAGGTGTCAAGCATGTTTAGTGCATTAAATCACCCTGTTTTTTCTCTGGTGACTTTCGTTATGGTGCACTGTATTGTTACGGACAAACTTCTAAACAAGGTGTTTGATGTAATGCTTATGTATGTCCGTGTCTTTTGGCATATTCATGCCTTGTACAGCATGTAAAGGGGCGGCCGAAGGCTTAATAGTCACATTTTAGTTGGGTTGGTGGTCTCTTTAGGCTTGTAAATAAAGGTTGTGTCATGTAGACACGTGCGAGAGATTTTCGGTCTGTAATGGACCATTTTACCCTTTGTTGTGCTACTGTTCAGAGCTTGTAAAGTATGTTTGTAATTTGCATTGTCTATGAAGTGTTTTTCGGAGATGTTTGCTTGTGGATTCCGATTGAGATGTTCTCTCTAGCCCGTTCTCTCTCTTGTTGGTCCTAAGGGACAATGGGAGTCTTCGGGGAGGCTGACCTTTGCGGACGGACACGTAAGGGTGCCGCACGACTTAGGCAAAACCAGCTAAGTCTGTGACAGTATGGCAGATGACTCTCAATCATCAGATCCACTGGCTTTGACAGTAAATTTCACATTCGTCGCATGTGACTCTAGGACCGGAAAGTCAACTTCTGTAAACCGCCTGTTACCAGAAACTGAACAAGAAAAGTTGCTCTTTGAGGAAGGAGAAGAAAGGGATAAAGTTCGGAAAGGGAAACCAGAGGAACAGAAAAGAACTTTTGAGAATGGTGGGCATAGTTTGCATGGCGATATAAAGAGGCTAAAGATGTTGTTGGCAGAGGGGTGTGTGTTTTGTGATTTGCCTGCATTAGCAGATAGAGACAGCATTCAAATAAGGGATACCGAACTTGAGAAGTCACTGATCTGCCAACCTCAACAAAGGAATTTCTATGGTCGTATTTTTGGGGGTTTTCTGATGAACCTAGCATTTGAACTTGCCTTTTCAACTGCATATGCATTTGTTGGGCGGACGCCATGCTTTCTTGAAGTGGACCATGTTGATTTCTTAAAACCTGTAAGTCGCAAGTCTTACATCTTTACTGAATCTGATATTTCTGTGTGTATTACATCAAACTCTTTCTCTTTCACTTCAATAGAACAAAGGAACATCTCATGCATAATGCACGCTTACAGTTGATTTTACACCTGTTATCTGTCTAATATGCAAGCATTAGATACTATCTGTATGCATGGCATGATGGTGTCTACATAGATCAACATTGTGCTCCTCTGGAAATGACATTTCATGGCATAATCATTTACTATACATTACTCAGGTTGACGTGGGAGACTTCCTTGGCCTCAAATCTTGTATTCTTTAGACACAACTAGAGAACCCAGCTCAGCCTTTGATCAACGTTGAAGTTGTTGCTCATGTAATGAGGCCTGAGCTCCAGACCAGTGAGGTAACACAACTAAAGAACATGCTATTTATTATTTTGATTATATGAATAGCTTCACCTTGTCTATGTGCCTGATGCGCAGATACCAAACACATTCTACTTCACTTTTAATCTAAATCCTGATGTCCGAAAGAATGGGCTAAAGATTCACAATGTAGTGCCTCCCACAGAGGAAGAAGCCCGTCTGGTCCTTGAGCGAATGGATGCCGATAAAATATTTGCTTAACTATATAAATAGATGGTTACCTTTTGAATGGCAAGACTGTTTTCTGCCAGTTTACATCCATATATTTGTGCGGTAAGAACACCATTTACGAGTGTCTCTGTACTGAACATAATTCGCCGCAAACTTTTCTGAATAAAATTTGTATAAAGCATAGTTTCTGAAATAAAGTTTAATTACACCTCTTTTCCTGTTGGCAAACTTGTTTGTCATGACTTCTGGGATGAAGGATTCAAGGCAATTAATTACCTTATTCTCAGCACTATTTATCAACATACTTGTGTGGTCTATTGTTCTTTGTATTCTATGATTCTTCTTTTAGTGTCTTGTAAATGGAGAATCTGTCAATTAGGAGATCTGCAGCTGCTGCTGCTCCTGCCAATTAGAGGGGGTATGAATCATATTTCCACTTCTGGAAAGGATCTCTCCTGCTACATATCCTACCGAATGCTTTAGTCTCAACTGATAATTAACAGATATCATAATCTCACCACCCATATAAATAATCACATCTTATCATTCCAAGATCATGTAGAATACTAATAAATAAACTTAGTAAATCTGGGCATTGTTGAAACTAATCTCTTTCACTGTAGATTTGTAGATACAAAATCTTTAAAGATTCAATAAGATTACATATGATCAACCTATTTGCACTTTACCTGCTGTTAGTAGCTGTGTATATATCTCATTGGAAGTAAGCTTTGATGGCAGAGACTATACAAAGCATGTCAGTGAAGTCAACCTTATTTTTCTCTAACTTGTGTACAGATAGGAGCAAAATAATCCATAAAAAAAAAAGAATCTTTTACATTAAAATCCTATTAATACAAAAAAAAAAGAGAGCTCTGATAATTCCATTTCTGCTGTCACTTCCATCTGCAGTGTGCAGTGTGCAGTGTGCAGTGTCGCTCTACGACGACGACGACGACGAGCTCCCCTCATCAGAGCTTTCATGTCTCAGGGCATGAAGCCTCGGAAACGCAGAAGGCGGTAGCGTCGGGTTCATCGGCACCGGGAGATGCCGTGCCGAGGTGACGGTGGTGCGCTCGTTTATCTTGGCGACATCCTTGCAGACCTTGTCGAGGACTGCCAGGAAATCCCTGACCACCGTGAAGATCCTGAAAGGATGCGCCTCTTCCTTGGCGGAGTCGCCATGGAAGTACTCTGTCGTCTCCTTGACCAGCGACAGCGCCACGCTCTCCTGTGCCTGCACTCTTATGACGTCGTCCTCCGCCCTCTTCAAGAACCGAACCATGGCGTCGCGGAACCCCAGCCTGCACTCCTCCGCGCCGAGCGCTTCGTTCAATCTCAGGACCTCGTCGATCTTGCCGAGCCCCCCGGCGAGTCGCGCGACGTAGCTGCCGAGCGTGGCGGAGTCCATCGCGGCCGCCTTCTTGACGTTGCCCAGCTCGCCGCCAAGGCCGGCGACGACCCGGAGGCCGAGCTTCCTGCCCTCGAGCTCGTCCCGTAGCGCACCCGTGGAGCCTTCGGATCTGATGATCTCCTGGGTGACGAAGTGCAGCAGCGTGGTCCGCCCGTCGGCGGCTTTGACGTCGACTAGCTTGAGGAGGGTGTCGAGCTTGAAGGCGCGTGCATCGCCCCGATTGGTGCCGACGTTCATGCGGTTGCCGGTCTTGAGCACGGCATCCAAAAGCTTGAGGAACAACCTGCTGCTCCTCAGCTCATCACAGGCAGCCTGATGATGGCAAATCCAGTTATAATGGCAGAGAGATGCCTCAGATCCAACAAACATGAGAGCTTAGATCCTCATATGGGATCCATTTAAAGTAAGCAACGCTTGATCTATTGATCTAAGTTGATCTTAGTAGACCTGCCCCGATTCGAATCAAACCATAGTCAAAGCTATATCTAAGTAATTTCAAACAAAAACACGGAAAACTTATACTGATCATTGATAAGCGAAGCAAAATCGACTCTATATCAATCAAAAATACAAGTAGAGAGGTTGCCAATTGAAATGAAAATAAAGTTCTGTTTTAACTCCAAGGAGCTAAGTAATGTCATCATGAGTTTATGGCTGAACACTATAATGAGTTTATGATCAGAATAACTTCAAACAGAAGATGGTTTTCATGTTGTTAGGAAACAACATGCAGGACATTTGAAAGAGTCAATGCAACACAAAATACAAGATCTTAGGATTAGCCTCTTTGCTAGCAGAACAGAAACTGCAGAAAGAACCAAGTGATGTACCTCGAGAGTCTCGAAGGACTTGATGAGAAAATTGACCTCCGAATCGAAATTGGCTATGTAAAGCATGGCATCCACTCTCTTGAATGAAAATGGTACATCAAGCAATGCCTTGAGAAAAGCTTCAGCTGGTGCAAGCTTGCATGGGGAGTCATCTTTGTGTTCTTGCAATCTGTGTTCTTCTTCTGCGCTGGGAGCCATCTTTACCAGTGTTTCCAGCAGCTCAGTCCCCAAGCTCTCAGCATTGCCTGCTTTCAGAAATCAGGATTAGATACTCATGGAAATAATGTTGTAATTCTGAAGGTGTTATTTAACTTTATTGGCACAGAAAAAATGGCGAATTCTTTGAAAAAAAATCTCTCAGCATTGCCACTCTGTTTGTAATGTTTTCCTAGTGTTGTTGAAAATGCTATAACACAAAAAAAAAATTATTATTACTTTCTAGCAGTGTTTTAGGTAAATTCATAGGAAAATAGAGGAAAAAGGAATAGGTGAAAATTATTGTCATAAGTTAGAACTGTTGGTTGTGGATTCTGACAGAAAGATTTATATTCCATCATTGTTGCTCACTACTGATACCTCAAATCCAACAAAACCTATATAGTAATGCAGAGTAATCGATGGACACCTTCTGCACCAACAAGTTCATGTGCTTCTCCTCACAGAAAGATGTAATGGCATCAAGAAGTGATGCTTTGACAGGCGATTTGATTGCCATTGTTATGACCTCTAATTGGAATGAGTTACACTGAATGAGACAGTAATGGAAGAACAAGAACCAGAAAGAACTCAATAGAAGACTTGTCATTGCAGCTAAATCGAGCCAAAGAAACCTGACCTTCTTGTAGAGCATCGCAGACTTCCTCTTTGGTCGCATTCAATGCTCTCATCAGAATGGCAATGTTCTGAGACTTCTTCGGATCGAGCACCCTCTTCTCTCGCGGTGACGAAGGAAGGACCTGCCGCCGGTTGGTCTCCCTGTGTGTGGCGTTGGTTGCATTGCGGACGAACAGAGTCTCGATCATTTCTTCGTTCACCCTGTTGATTCCTCAGTTGTGTAACTCGATGAGAAGGAAAAGGGGGGAGGAAGGAAACACGGTGAGGAATCTCACTGGAAGGAGCTGGATTTTAGCTGATCCCACACCATTGCTCTGTCCGAGCTCGCCTGAACCTTGTCCCAGTGCAAAGGCTTCAGCTTTGGCCGCTCGGCTTCCTCGTTCTTCTCTGTCTTGAGCTTGGGCGGCACGAGAAGCGGTGGCTGTCTTGCCTGTGGCTGCCGGACCTGACTCTCCCAGTATCCGACCGGCGGCAGTGGGGGAGGAGGAGGAGGAATCTGTAGGGGTGGAATTCGGCTCTGTTGAGGGCCTGGGGCAGCAGTGACCACGACTGGAAGTGGTGGTGGCGGCGGCGGCGGAGCAAGTAATTCGCGATCTCGGGTCAGAAACCTCTCGGAGAGGGACTTCAATGATCTGCGGGTGGATTGGCCGGGGCTCGATCCGAAGCGCGCCGACGAACGAGGAGATGAGGCCATGTTCGACGACGAGTATGATGGCGTGCTCATTCTCCAGCTGAGGGATCCACATTTCTCCGCTGCTTTTGGGAACATCGGCCGGGAGCTCGACGCCCGCCCATAAGCCAACCTCCCGGGGCTCTCCTTCCGGGCGGAGGACCCCCTTGGCGAATAGAACTCGTCCTCCGACAAGCCCTCCGCCTCCCCGTTCCCGTACCCGTGCCGGTAATGGCGCGGAAGTGGCGGGAGAGGTCGGAGCTCCGGGGACTCCAGTTTCCGGACGGACGATCCGACCATACCGTCTGCGCCAGGTCGGGGGCCTCCGTCGCGGCGGGTGTCGACGAGGGTGCCGAGGTAGAGGAATTTGGAGGAGGAAGAAGCGGCGGAGGGGGAGGGCCTGGGTGCGCCGCCGTCGGATGCGGCGGATTCGGCGGGGACGAGTCGTTGGGAGTCGGACCGGGCGTCGTACTTGCCGGAAAAAAGGCGACGGCGGCGGCGATGGAGGAAGAACGCCGCCGCAGCGGCGAGAATGACGAGGAGGGGGAGGAGGACGGTGACAACGACTTTAAAGCTCTGGCGGGAGGGAGGGGCGGGGGCGGAGCCAGGGAAGGTGAGGGAGGAGATGTTGGCCGGGAAGGTGGGCTGTTGGGAAGGCGGAGGCGGCGGTGGGGGCGGCGGGGAGGAGTTCAACGGGAAGAACGGCTGATGCGGGGTGGTGGAGTAGGGGTACTTGGGCAAGGCGGAAGGTGACTTAGCTGGAGCAGTGGAAGGAAGAGGGAAGAAAGGCAGGTGTAGTGCCCTTCTGTTGCTGATAGGAACTGGAGGCGAGCACGACTTCGATGTTGATGGCATTGTGGCGAGAGAACTGAGAGAAGAGAAGGAAGCCAATGTTGAGGGAGCGAAGAAGGAGTGGGGAGTGTTTTGCTTATTGTCTGTTCTACTTCACAGTGTCCACAAGCAGAGCAGGTGACAGGTTAAAGGGGTATGCATGTGAAAGAGAGTAGGGAAGAAGATGAAAAGGAAGAGAGAGAGAGAGAGAGAGAGAGAGAGAGAGAGAGAGAGAGATG